ACCATAGAACTCAAAGAGGGTGTACTTTCTTTTTCACATGACTATAGTCTAACAGAGCACAATTTATGGAAAGCACCCAGAGCTGCTGCTGGCTGATGTGGGGGGTCAATTTGCTTTTGAAGTTGATTTGACATATCTGATAATATCCTCTATCTAAATTATATTTGTAGCATCTGAGTAGTAGTGAAAGGAGATAATGGGAGATAACAATATGATGCAGCTGTTGTAAGAGCTTATCTCCAGGTTCAGACAGTGAAATCTAAAGAGCAAGGGGTTCAAGACAGTTGAAAAATATTTCACTTAGCACATAATATCAAAAAAGGTTTTAAGTAAATGTTCCATATTGGCGCCTAAAGAATTATATGGAAAGTCTATGTATCTATAAGGAACTAAGCTTGACTTGAGGGGCTATTTATGGGAGGATTTCAGTGATTGGTGACTGATCGAATGCATTTATATAGCCACCTATCTCATGAATGTGACTCTGAGTGGTGTACAGTAGAACAGAACAATTGAAAATAAAACTTAAAAACCTATGATGGCTATGTAGCACTTCTGTGATAGGAATGCTATTTGGCAAGCCCTGCTGGTGGATTTCCTACAGTCTTCACTACCCCTGGGAGGAAAGATTCCTGGAATAAGTAAGTCTTTAGTCTGATCCAGCCAGTCTCTTATTACAGCCTAGAACTTCTTATTTTGGGAGAAAGAGGCCTCCATCACTTCTTCTCTGCTCAAATCCTACTGGGCTCTAGCACTGCTAGTAGAAGTAGAAAATCTGCAGGAACACTTGGCATATCCCACCTGCTGCTTTCCATCCTTGCATTTAGGTGGGCGAGCAGACAATGTGTAAGTAGATGCCATCCACCTTACAGGCTTCTATCCTCAGCCTTGAAGAAAACTACTTTGCTTTGGAGAAATTGCTGTCCCTGGCAATCCTCCCATACAAGATAGTGAAGAGAAGCTACGTAACGGATAAATAACAAAAATAAACATCTACATAAATGGCGCGTTCTGCAAGATTCCAAGGCCTTATGATATGATGCCAATCATGTCTGATGGGGTGGCTTGTGTCATTACAGCTATTTTTCACAGGAACTACAAAAACAGCTATCTGCTGTATGAGTTCCTCCATTATATTTAATGACTATCTTTATGTAGTGCACTATATGGTTACTGAACATGGTTTAGCATGTTGTGCAAATCCCACCATTGTGGTTTCCAAAGCCTGGTTGATGACTTAGCACAAAAACCCAGCAGCTGTGATGGCTTAATGCAAAATGTGACTAAGTCTCTGTATGCTAGTCTGAAATGAAGAAGACTGGGTGGAAGTTAAACGAAGAGCTTGGAAGCTTTTAAACAAATTATGTCTCAACATGATGTGTGGATCCAGGCGATGGGATATATAGTGTTTCTACTATGTATGCAAAATTGCAGTGTACTTAACATTGGTTTATATAATTAACCAAAATATGAATTGCTTGTTTGTGGCATAACATTTGTTTATCTCTAGCCAATATGATTTATAAACTATAGTTTTGTGTATTGCATGAACCAGCTAATTGTGATTTAATTTACCAAGCCATGATTAAATGAAATACGACTCCACATGTTAAGTGAATACAATCTTAGAATCCTATCCTGTTCCCATAATGCCCCCCCCCCAGGTCTACTTATTGCCATGAAGCATGTGGTGTATTCCCCTAGACTAAATTAGGGGGCTTCAGTAGTCTTTTCAGATGTGGGAAACACCTTGAGCTCATTCTTGTACCTTGGGGCCCTATAAAATTATAACAACTGGTGCAGCCCAGCTTAAGTCAAGCACAGTAATAAAACCAGATGTACCAACTGAAGGAAAACAGGAAGTTATTTATTAAAATATTTGTATGGCCGCCCATCTTAAAACAACTCTGAGCAGCATACCACAAAACTACAAAAACCATAAAAACCGCATGAGCACAACTAAAAACCTGGAGCCTCAGGGTGCCCCAACAACCATCTGCAGGTTCCCACCCCTCTACCCCAGTGCCAGCTTTTAATGGTCTTCTGGAAGGCTAAGAGGGTGGGGGGCTGCTGGATTGCCAGGGGTGGGGGGAGTGTCCATAAGGTAGGGACAGTCACAGAAAAGGCATGCTTCCAAGCTCCCACTCGATGGCATCATTTCAGGGAAGGGATTTGGAGCGTGTCCACCCAACCTGATACCTCAATGCCAAATGTGTTGCTGAAGAACTCGGGCATCCAAGCGGGAAGGGGCTGATAGCATACAGACCACTGCACACAGGAAAGGGAGGATTAGGATTTTCATCTGACACAGTCCTGGGATTTCTTGAAAGTCAGCCCCTGTGCCTGCCATTTTAATTGAAAAAACCCTCATTCTCTCAGTTTGCATTTAGACTGCTTTCCCACACTGCAAACTCAGACAGAATGCAACGCCTCTTGGGCAGGATCCCCGCTAGTCACTTACAGCATCTCCTAGAGTCATCCAATTATCACTGAGTCCATGTTTCAGGAACAAGGGTGGGCTTTATATTGTTTTCAACAAAGGCTGCATAATGTTAGAAGATACAATAAGTCCCTGAGAGGACATGAGCTTTGTGAACCCAGCCAACTGGTTTATTCAGTAAGCCATGGTTAAACATCATGACTTAGCATGAGGTGTGAGTGCAGGCTTAGCAACACACGTAGCTTGGCTCCAAATTATATCACTATAATAATACAGGTCATAATTTTAAAAAGTGACCGTTAAGTTCAATTAAGTTTAGGAATTGCTCCCAAATTCCTGCTTATTTGTTGTTATTGGAGAACATCAAAGCAGGATAAGGTGCCGTTTCATTGCTACAGCTTCATTCAGATTTGTTCATCAGCTTCTATAGAATGTAATGCCATTTCCTTTCATTCGAAAACAAGCAATTCATACTTTGCTTATTTCAGACAATTGAACAGTTAGAAAAAGAAATGTTGAATGGACAGAAGCTACAAGGACCTCAAACATCAGCTGAAGTCTATAAGATTCTGAAGCAGAGGAATATGGTTGACAAGTAAGTAGTTTGTTATATATACTAAATATATCTGTGAGCAGCCACAGGTCATTCCCAGCAGTTCAACTATGCGGATAATCTTGGGGGGTTTTGTTATTTTTGTTGGCTGCAAAACTCCAGAGCAATATTTTCACTAGACAACAGTGAGGAGTTAGACCTCTCTCTCTTTGCTGCTCTTTAGTGGTCAGATGTTTTGCAGCCCAGTTATGCTAGTCCTAATTTTTGTCATATTATTTATTAATTAATCTAAAATTTCAAGTGAAGTGAGACCAACTCAAACCAATTCAACATACTGTATAATAGTTTTGCTATAACCCTTGCTAATATAGCTATTTGACTGTAGAACTTCCAATTACACACCTACGCTAGAAGATTCCGTTTGCACACCTACGCTAAAGATTTTCCAAAGATACCCATGAAGAGGGTTTTTCCCCCACCATGCCAATTTTTCATTCAGTTTTTTTTTAAGTAGTAGGGAATTGTATTCAGATATGTAACTGCATACTTATGGTGTAAAACAATTGCTCTCAAAAAGATGGAACATTTCTAAATGTTTTAATTTGGCTTTCATTTACACATGATTACAACATATCATGATCCACTGTGGGTAAACCAATTATTCACGTTCATCCACAGAAAGGAACTTAGGGCTTCAGCCTTTTTAGATGGCTTTATGTCTGCAAATTCCTTGTGAAAGATAGTTAATTGAAATTTTTAGTTGATTACAGCAATTTGTAAACAAAACTTGTGAAACAGCTTCTAATTTATACGCGTGCCTTTCAGTTCTAACCAAACTGATATCACTATCCATGAAATAACTAACATGTGTCAGAATCTCAAGATCAGACAAATTGGTGTGAGATAGATTGATTGGATGGATGGATGGATGGACGGACGGACGGACAGATAGCTTGAGAAACATGGACCCACTACTCCCTCCTATAGCCTTTTTTTATGCTGGCAACCAGCACCTATCCAACCACCTCTGGTAGCTCCCAATGCTTTTATTCTAAAGACTTCCTTAGACAACCAGGGGACACTGTATGCTTTAGGGCAGTGTTTCTCAACCTTGGCAACTTCTAGATGTCTGGACTTCAACTCCTAGAATTCTGGGAGTCAAAGTCCAGACACCTTAAAGTCGCTAAGGTTGAGAAACTGCTTTAGGGGTAATTAAGCAGCTGGTCCAGGTCACAAGATTGGGGCTTGGTTCCCATTCATTATGAATGAAGTGGTAGCTTCATTATGTCTAATGGGAGGACTGCCTGGGTGCAATCTACAGCAATGCTCCTGTATGCTTAAGAGCTGTGTAGCAACAGAAATCCAGTAATTAAACCTGTCATATCTTATAACAGCAGGTTGAGAGAAAAACTATCTGGCTTAGCTGCTCAGTGATGGATGGTAAATGTGATGTTCTTTAATAATGTTTCAATTATGCAACTGTCCTAATCTCCATCTTCTCTAGTGTTTTCATCATGAAATCAGTTCTAGGATTAGTTTTAAGATCATCAACACCGTGACAATTACAGCCACTTCCAGAGTACTGGAAGTCTGGATGCTGAATGGCATCAGGCTAGTCTGAACATTTTATCTCAGCCTTGTACATTTAGGCTAACAAAAAACATCCTACTGTTCTCAGCATTATGCTTCTCTTTTATGCCCTTGGTACCTTATAAGGAAAGAATTTTATCCTATTTTCTGTTCAAAGGCCCTCATCAGTACTGACTTATGTGTTAAGCAAGCAGGAGGCTTATTGTACTTAAGCTAATCTCATTCAAGAGAGCACTGGACACAGAAAAGTAATTCAGGTGCAGCTTTCCCTACCTGGTGCCTGCCAGATATATCGGACTATGAGGATTATAGCCCAGAGTATCTAGAGACCACAAAGTTGGAGGAGGCTATTCTACAAAAATATCTATAATTAAATGCTAGGCATCAACCATTTAAAAAGAAGATTGCTAGTTAAAAATTACTTTGTTGAAATCAGTACTTGTGACCACATCAATGATTATATAAGATAGGAAACTCTTGACACAATGATTGAAGATTTACTTCAGCAGTTGCATTTCTCTCTAGGTTTCCACTATTCGCAAATATCTACCTAATCTGTTATGAAGGAAAGTCAGTCAAAGAGTTCATCGCTTGCCTGAAAAATCATCCGGAACACATGTAAGATGGTATGCTGCAACTTACCGGTATAGTCTCTCTCAACTCAAGATTTGTCAGCCTGACAATGGAGAATAAAGCAAGCAAGCAAGGCTTCTGTCAACTTGACAATGGAGAATAAAAGCAAACAAGCAACATGCAAAAAAAAAAAAAAAAAGCCTTTGGTATTAACCTCATTGCGGTCTTCACAGAAAATATAAGCGTTTTGAGTAACGATCTGCACTGAGTGTGAAGACAAAACAATATTACACATTTCAGTATCAACTTCAGGAGCCAATTATAGAAGACTCTGAAGTGGGAATGCCATTTTAATCACTCATGTTCCATGCAAAGCTGAAATTGCAGAAAATCAATCACATAACTATAGCTCTTCTGAGAGTTGTTCAGACTTTTGTGCTGAACACCTAAACTTGTATTAAGAGCTACATTTCTTAATTCAGATTGAGTGAAGGTGAATTTAAAACTAGATGCTTGCACCAAGGAACTGACTACAGGTAGCCGTTGCTTAATGACCACTCATTCAGTGACTGTTCAAAGTTGCACAGGCACTGAACGGGTGGTACTTAAAACTGATCCTCGTAGTTCTGGCCATCCCAGCACCCCCATGGTCACGCGAACACGATTTGGGCACTTGGCAACTGGCTTATGATGATTGCAGGGTCCCACAGTCACATGATTGCCATTTGCGACCTTCCTTTACCACAAGCAAAGTCAGTGGGGAAGCTGGTAGGGATGGTCGCAAGTCGCTCTGGTAAGATGCTCCCAATCCCAGTGCTTTTTTGCCTGAGGCGGCTGGCTATGGAGTATGAGATTCCAAGGATCTTGTACTCCATAGTGTGTGCCTGTGCTAGGCTGTAGCAGCCTCCTGTGTGCCCTCCTGCCCCTGGCAACAGCCACCCCACACCCGGCCACACTTGTGCCGCATTAGCCACTTACCCACCCTCCAGCCTGCCTGCGAGCTGCCCAGGACTCACAACTTCCTGCCAACTTCCCCACTTACTTTATTGGAAGCCAGCAGGATATTACAAGGAGGTCCTTGCTTAATGACCCACAATCCTCACTTAACAATGGCAGTGGGATTGTTGGGATTGCTGTCGCTAAGCGATGCGGTCTCATGGCATCGTGCTTTATGACTCCATCGCTTACCAACAGAAATTCCAGTCCCAATGTTGTTAACTGAGGACAACCTGTAGTTGGTTGAACTGCATATGTGATATTGACTGAATTCACAGTGCCATAATAGAATTTGTTGGCTGCTAGCTTGTGTTCTTTGAACTTCCTTGACAAACCATGGTTAAGTAAATAATTGCTCAGCCTAATCTATGAATTCACCCATTCACTTGCCACATAACAAATCAAAACGTAGAAATTACTATAGTCACCTCAAC